GTTCCTGGCAGCAAGTAAAAATGAAATATAAAAATATAGTCCAAACAGGTAAGGTGTAATTGTATTATGAGCCATAGTGCTTGGTCTGTTTGTCCCATGTAAATCAATTGCAGTTAGAGGCTACATTAATTTTCTTTCTGTAAGCACTTATTGAAATTATCTGAGCACAACAAGTACATATTTGCTTACTCTGTATGCTCAAATGTGACCCGTTATAGCCAACAGAAAAAAAAAAGCGGAGGCCTGAAAAACAGGCGGGGGTCCTCCACCACCACCACTCACAGAGCCTGGCCACTTGGCTTCCACATTTGTGATAATGTTGGCAGCATCACATATGATCTTCACAGTGCAGAGAACACAAATTAGCATCCATTACTATAATGAAATAATTTGTTAGTTTGAAATGCTACAGGGAACTATGTACCTGTACATTGATGCTGTGGAAAGACTTCCTGTTCACATAGTCTCCTTCATTTACTGAAGGAGCAATGATTGGAATGTGAGTGCCATCTATACAGCCAATCACGCCTGGGAACCGTGAGAATAAATGTAAGATTTAAGTAGTAGTTCAAATATCACCACATCATAAATTAAGTTTTGGTCATCCTGATACCTGCAATTTTGTGGCATCCCTCTTTGATAAATCTTGTGGGTCTGTGACCGGGGAACACCACAAACGAGTACAGGAGACGTTTCAGTGCAACTGTAACATTCCTGACTGCCCGACAGACGGTAGCCTTGGAAACGTGCTCAGCGTCACCAATATTATACAGAAAGCTCCCGTTTGCAAAAAACCGAAGTGCAATACAAATAATATGCAATGAACTGAGAGCATGTCCGCGATGTGTCACATGAGCAATATTAGGCCTGAGGAGGTTATTCAAATAAATTATAGATTGTGCTGAAAAACGGTAACGTTCACACAGGAAATCATCAGGAAATGATAAAATGTCCAAACGCGCTCTGATCACTCTCTCCCGGCGGAGAGCTCTGCGGAGAATTTGGGCTTCAACATCTACTGGCTCTTCAAGGAAGGGACACGCCATGTCTGACACTTCCTACTGTCAGGTTTCCGACAAAGAGGCGGAGAAAGTCAATGTTAGTTGAAGTAAACCTGCTAGGGGGCAGGTTAGCTTCACGGAGTGTGTCGTCATAGTGACTCACTGAGGCTTCATCTGAACTCGCTTTGTGAAACCGAAAACCCAGAGTTTTCGTTAACTCAGCGTATACTTACTCAGAGTTTGCACTAAACCGGCTTCCTGAAACAGGGCCCAGAGAACTCAGCCATCCGTTTACCTCCACGTATAAGGTCGCAGCTGGAGGGGTGGAGCCTATCCCACACAGAGGAGGCCAATCACAAAACAGCATGAAGCTGTTATGCAACTTTAACTTCAGGAGTTAAAGCACCCAACAAAGAAAAGTAGTTCAGTGAATCAAAGACAACAAATGAAACCTAGTTTTAAACACATGATAACTGTAGAGCGTCCGACACGTGCTCATGTTGACCTTTGACTTCATCACGTCTCCTCCACACTTTTCCTCTCAGCTGAGCTCCAATCATGGCGATCTATAGTCTGACATGTTGTGGCTTCACTCAGGTGAGAGCGCAAAATATGAGTGGCTCGTATATCTAATAATCTCAGGAGCTCACAGTGACTAATAACTGCTGTGTGTTCATAACGCTGAGTGTGAACAGGTGATTAGTCAGCAGGTGTGAGGCTGAGGGTCGGCCAGCAGGTGGAGACAGAGCTTCATCTTTAAACCACATGCTGTGATCGCTCATCATCAGCAACAGAACAACAACAACATAAATAAAAATAATAACATTGAACACTTATCTCACATGTAAAACAAACACACACACACGTTGTGTGCTGCTCCTCCTGGCAGGTGGAGGTGTGCTCACTCTGCCTGGACGAGCTTGTTTTCAAGTTCCAGTTAACATGGAAACTTTTCCCCGCTGCTGTCATTGACCCATTTACCTTCACACACACACACACACACGCACACACACACACACACACACACACACGCACACACACACACAGCCATTTGTGTGCAGGTCTTGTGCTCCTCCATCGATCAGGGGAAACTGAAGGCTCCTGTTCCTCTATAAATACTCTGGCTGTCCTTGTGCACGTCTCCTTCATCTTCACCACCGCTCCTCTTCCTCCCTCTCTCCACCCCTGCTGCAGCTATTTCTGTCTCAATCTATAAACTCCGTCCACCCGGCCTGACCAACAGGTCTCTCTCTCACACACACACCACAGTTTAAATCTGGTGTACAGAGCTGAAGGTTTCAGATTCAAAGCAAAGCTGAAATATTTCAAAGCTGCGTCTCTGACCACATCACCCGCTCGTACAGACCGTCGTATCCTTCCCCAGCGTCCTGACTGCACCGGTTACAACCTGAACTCTGTGGTTTCACACAGGAACAACACTCAGCACGCAGTCACTCCGACGAGCACAGAGGTCATCCACCGGACTCTGAGGCTTCAGCCATCTTTGTTTACAGGTGTGAAATGAGGAGTTTGAAGCCATGATGAAGAGTGATCCTGTGGCCTCTGTCCACTCCGCCTGAATCTACATGAAGAAAACTGTGAGTGTGAACTGCAGACTGTCCAGTCCAGGGGAATAACCGAGGTCAGTGTGACATCTGACTGGATGCTGTGTGAGTGCAGTTTGTTACACATCGAGTCAAAGCGCTTTCATTAGAAAACAGCAGTGAAAGCACAAACACAAAGTCTGTGAAGCAAACGCACACACAGACACAAGATCATTTCATGCGGAGCACACTTCTCCTTCGCTGTTAAATAAAGAGGACATAAAAACGCTGCACGCACACAGACGCACACACACGCCCTGACAGATATAACTCTGACACACTGTGAAATAAGTGTTTAAAAGTTTAGACACACAACAGCAAGTGGTTCTTCATTGTTTGGCTGCACTGACACCAATCAGCTGATGCAATCAGCTCTACTTTATGCAATAAAATCTCTGCTGATGGATGTCAGGATTTTCTATCATGTTTCATAAGAAACTTGTGTTTTTGGTGTGATGTGCATGCAGATGCTGGAAACTGTTTGATTGTGTTGGGAAAAAAGATTTTATTACACAGTGAGCTGATTGCATCTTACAAACATCCGTTTGCAGGCAGATTTCACGGCTCGGTGAGGAACAGCTGCAGTGTTGGACTCCAGGTGTGGTGACTCACACAGGCTCATTTACAAACGCCAACATCACGGCTAACAGCTGGATTATCCTGTTTCAGTGCAGCTAGCCAAACAGCGAACAGCCACTTCCTGCTGCAGACGGTAACATGGACATCCTGTTACTAGTTAGCTAACATAAACTAATGCGAGTCTGTTAGCCTCAACCAACCACAAGACGTCACGCTCCGTACTGACAGAAGATGGCGCTAAACATGTTTTAAAACTTTAAACATGGTGTAAATGAGCCTTTATGTGGGCAGCGTTTCATGTCCCCTTCTTAAATAATCAGGCCCCATCTGATCTTAATGACCTTGTAGTACCATATCACCCTATTAGAGCACTTCGCTCTCGCTCTGCAGGCCTACTTGTTGTTCCTAGAGTATTTAAAAGTAGAATGGGAGGCAGAGCCTTCAGTTTTCAGGCCCCTCTTCTGTGGAACCAGCTTCCAGTTTGGATTCAGGAGACAGACACTATCTCTACTTTCAAGATTAGGTTTCAAACTTTCCTTTTTGCTAAAGCATATAGTTAGGGCTGGACTAGGTGACCCTGACGGTGCCGGTTTCTTACAGCAGGTCTTTGAGTACGGTAACTTAGAGATGTGTTCAGAGCTCCATCACCTCGTCTGCTCCTTCAGCGGGGTGGTTTCTGCTGCGTCAACGTTCAGGATCTCACCCAGCGATCGACACCTGACTAGGGATGGGTACCGGTATCTGGGTCTGGTTCTGACATAAACGGTAGTCACCAGACCGAAAAGCAGCGCACATTTTGGTGCTTTTTTTTTCCTGAGATGTCATACACTTTGGATCATTTTACCTTTCCAAGGATAGTAGGCGGGTCCAGGTACGTATTCACAGCAAAAGATGCAAACTCAGCAGCAACAAGTGCTTTAAGCTGATACTGTGATACTGTCAAAGGAGGTAACTCCTCGAATCCGATGAAACACCTGGCGACGCATAGCGTTTTTTTTTTAAAAGCCCAGAAATGCGCCGTATTTGATAGCTTGCTGCCAGACCTCACACCGAGAACATCTACTGCGGGTGTGGTGCCTGTTATCAGACCCGGAGTTAGCAACATCCCCCAGAAACCCAAAGAGGAGAGTCCTGGCCCCTAGCCCTGCCAGTGTAGCAGAAATGATGAGGATGATGATGCAGCAGCAGCCGTTCTTCTCTGCGTGAGGAGCTTAATGTTGTTCGTGTGTAATTTACGTTGAGTAGGCTAACCACGTTATTACATTAATGCATGTAAGGTGAACTAGCAAACATCATCATAGCTACATGCGGCTGTCTTCTTGTTTGATGGCAGATACTCCCTTCACCCTGGCCAAAAAGGCTAAAATGACCAAAGAAAAAGTGGAAAACAGCTGAACATGAGAGGATTTTGGACAAAGTTGGTGTTTTTTCCATTGTTTAAGCTTCCAGCCAAGAGTGATACCATATATGCCCCATAGCTGCAGAAAAGGCTAACATTGTTATCTTTTTACAAAAAAACAGCTGAACATGAGAGGTTTTTGGACCAATTTTGTGTTCTCCATTCTTTAAGCACCGGCACAGTTTCAAAAGTACCGGTTTGGTACCGGTATCGGATAAAACCTAAACGATACCCATCCCTACACCTGACAGGCTGAGAACAGTGAAGCCTTTTCTGTTTGTCCCATAAAGGAAGAAAATCGAGCTTCACGTCAGACTGCGGAGTCAGCGCTCTGAGGTCAGGTGGCTCGGCTAGCAAGAAACTCCAATAACTAATCAGTAATAATCAATAAATTCACAAAATGAACAGAGACGGTTGCTGGTTCAGGATAAATAATTTAATGTGGTTACAGGAGCCCGGAGCGGCACACAGAGGTGCCGCTAACACGCCATAAACACGCCGCGGGGGCACGCCGTCCTCAACATGCTGAAAACAAAGTGACGGCGTCGCATTCAGACTGTGTGATATGAGGCGCCGTTTGTAACGTGAAATTAACGGCAACATTTTTCCACATTTAGCTCAAAACCTTACAAAAACATGTTTTTGTGAAGAACTTTTTTACATTTAGTAAAATATTTTTTAACTTTTCATATTTAAAACACAATTTTAAATATGAAAAGTTAATGTTACAGGAAACTAAATATTTAGGCTAACATGCAAATTTATTGTACGGATCAACGGAAATACCAAAATAAAAGCTTTACGAAAACCTCCGGTGCAAAAGTGTGCCGGTATTGGTCGGATTATGTCTGCTCTCCCCCTCACTTCTCATCGCCATGAGCTGCTTCACTTCTTGCCTACGAGCATGTCCGTGTGCTGCAGCGATTGTGAAGTGGAGACTGCAGCTGCTGAGCGCACTACTGCTGAACCTTTGGATGGCCGACGAAACGGATCTTCGGAGGTTCTCAGCTAAATCGCTGCTGGTAGGCAAGAAGTGAAGCAGCTCATGGCGGTGAGAAGTGACCAGCAGGGGTCATTTCACAGCCCCGGGGCTGTGTCTGCTCTCTCCCGGGGCGTAGCATACCGATGTTTTGTCACGTCCCGCGGCGTTCCTGAGGAAACTTATGGTCCGCGCCGGGTTATGGCTGAATCCCAGTGGACGGTCCCGCGGTTATAGACGTTCCAGCCCTAAAGCTAACCATAACCTAACTTTAACCAGCAGCTAAATGGCGTAAAATAGTGTTGTCCAAAGTGATTTTAAGAAAATGAACCATGTGTAGATTGAGTCCAAACGGTTCTCATGTGTTCTCCTTTTCCCCGAGGTTTTCGTAAAGCTTTTATTTTGGTATTTCCGTTGATCCGTACAATAAATTTTACATGTTAGCCTAAATATTTAGTTTCCTGTAACATTTAGATTTAAATATAATATTTAGATTTAACATTCAAAACTGTGTTTTAACTGTGAAAAGTTACAAGTATTTTACTAAATGTTGTAAAAAAAGGACTCGTTTTTAGCTAAATGTGGAAAAATATTGCAGTTAATTTCAGCATGTTTCATTTTACAAACGGCGCCCCACAGTGTGAACATGTGTGAAATCATAACTGTGGAACTAACAGCAGAGTACAGCGAGCACGCAACGACTCCTCCAGCAGAAACACCACCGTCATCATCATCAGCGCAGTAATCCGGATACACATGTGCGTCTCATCCACGCCAGGTTCAGGTTTTCTCTGATTCGTGGAGAACAGTTCAAACATCTGCTGACGGTTTGAATTTTACTGATGAAGAGCAGCCTGTAGTTAAAGGATGGACGTTTGCTTATTTAACCGATTTGAACAGGTCACATGTTTCTGTGTTCTGCTGTGAATGAAGTTTATGAGACCTGAAATCACTTCTTAATGATGTGGACGTTTATCTTAAAGCAGCTTTTCAACAGCAGTGACGCCCTCTTTGTTTGTGACACTGAATCTGGAGCCTGACGGTGATAAGGACAGAAACGCTGTCACAGCAGGGTAACAACAGTCCAGCAGGCGTGTGTGTACAGGTACAGCTCTCTGAGCTGTGGATCAGGTGGTGATGGAGGACGCTGGATCCTATCTGCGGTTGTTTGGCTCTTTGTCGACCTTTTCGTGTGTTTTATGTGAGTTTTGTGTGTCTGTGTTAAATTACTGTGGGAGTCCTGGAGGAAGCCTTCCTCTGCTGAGGATGAGGTTCTCCTTTGTTTCCTGTTTGTGTGTTTCTGCAGAGGCGACACGCCTGCATCCTGTTGCCCTGTAGCACTGTGTGTGTCTGTGTGTGTGTCTGTGCGCGTGGTGTACTCGCTTTGACAGGTGGAGGTGCTGTTGTGCTAATGTGACAGCTGGTTCTGTTGCTGCCTTCACATCACTGCTCTGGTTTTTTGTGTGTAGTTATGGTGCCTCATTTCACCCTGCATGTGTGTGTGTGTGTGTGTGTGTGCGCGTGTATGTGTGTACGCGTGTGTGTGTGTGTGTGTTAGGAGGAGGCCGGCTTGCTGTAGTCCTCGACTCCGGTGATGGTGGCCTTGCAGAAGAAGCAGTCCTTGTTGTTCATCAGGTGCTGGTTGATGCAGGCTCTGCAGAGGAAACAGGAAGTTACGCTGATCATGTGATCGTCTGCAAACAGCTTTGAGCATGTAAGGTGTTTATGTGTGACTGAGCTGCGCTGACACATCTTCGTTTTGCTGTTGGAGGGTTACTGTGAGCACGTGCAGCAGCGAGCTGCAGGTCCACCTCTGAGGGCCAGGTTGCAGCTGTGGGAGGCGACCTGCCTCCAAACACTCAGACAGATGAAGGCGAGCCAGGACCTGCTGGCTACGTCATGTGCGGATCTCTTTGTAAGACGACACTTAGGTCGTGCTTTTGGTTCTTTGGGATGATGCTTTTCACCGCTCTGCATCACTTCCTGCGCCCACCCCATCAATGAGCCATATTTAAAGAACAGCGGCTAACCTGAACGACTCTAACGAAGCTGTCGGGGGATTTTCTGTCTCAGGGTTTATCAGATTGTTCCTGTTGTATTTACTCCCTCTTCAGCACGTTCTGAGCTCTGCATGGACGAGCACCGACATACATCAGAGATCTTTTACATCCCAGCAGGTCCCTGAGGTCATGTGATCAGGGCTTGCTGGTTGTCCATCATATGAGGCTGAAAACAAAAGTTGACAGAGCTTTTGTAACTGTGGCCCCCAGACTCTGGACCCCTCTCCCTTTGAGCTTCAGCTCTGTGGACTCAGCAGTCTCTTTTATAAAACAGCTAAAATCATTTTTGTTTCTGTGTTTTAGCGTTTCTGTGAAGCACTTTGTGATTTTTATTTTGAAAGGTGCTATACAATTAAATGTTACTTTAGATGTTTTTTAATGGTGGTAATATTGGTTTGAAGGTTTTGGCTTTTATTTTGAAAGGTTCAGTAAGAATAAAGAATAATGTGGCAGAATTAAGATTATTTTTCTGACGGTGTTTAAGTCGTTATTGAGCCAAGAAAGCTGCCAGAGGACCGACAACACACAGCTGTCCAATCAGACGACACGACGTTTGATCCGTTTTGAAGCTTCGTTTCACCCGGCGTGATGTGTGACACACACTGAAACCTGTCTGTGTGTTTTAGAGGGGCCCGAGTGAACGCTCAGAGCTGCTCTCACGGGTCCGTTTGTCACGAGGAGGAATCAGCTGGTTCACCCGGTGACAGCGCTCTCCATCATGCTGCAGCAATCCATACGGCCGCTGAGTCGGCGTGCCAGCTCAGCTAAATCAAGCGCACCTTCAGGATAGCATGAAATATGCATCCAGATATGAACGAGGTCTGCGCCCACGGCGGCGTCCAGCTGCAGTAAGGAAACAGCTGACTCACACACACAGGTGAGAGTGTGCGAGTCAGCCATATCTGTGTGTGTCAGGACGTCTGCAGGATCAATCTCACACTTTCAAGATCCTGCTTGCCCCACACTCGCCGTCACGTCATCAGCTGTACCGAGCAAGGCATTCTTCATCGCCGTCTCAGCGTCCTGTAAACTCGGGATGTGCTGCCCGCCACCAGCATGTTTGAGACTCAGAATGTGGCGTTAGTGCCAGTGTTACGATAAGGTTATGGTAAGGGGTTGTCTATTATGTCAATTAGATATGAATACCCGACGTGTGTGTGTGTGTGTGTGTGTGTGTGTGCTTTGGTGTGTGTGTGTGTGTGTGTGCTTTGGTGTGTGTGTGTGTGTGTGTGTGTGTGTGTGTGCGCGCGCGCGACTCACTTGCAGGACTTGTGTGAGCAGGGCTTGAAGATGGCAGAGATGGGGTGGGCGTAGCAGATGGGACAGAGGTCTTCCTCGCTGGTGGGCTGAGGACAGAAAGACAAACTCATCAGTCACTTTGTTGTCTCTGTTGCCGGCGTTCGCCCCAGTGCATGATGGGACATGTGAGTTAACGCCGCGGGCGCGAAGGGAAACACTCTTCCCGCAGACATCAACACCCGCTCTTCACACTCGCTGCCTTCTCAGCCCATCTGCTCCCTTCATATGTTTTCACTTCACAACCTTTCTTCACTAGATTCAGCCTCCACTCCTCCTCACCTCCTCCCAGCACCTCCCTGGCACACATCTGTAAAGTTTAGGTGCCGGTCAGCGTGCTCATCAACAGAGTGAAACTCCCACAGAGGGGAAAGGTCACACTGACAGTTTAACAAACGGCACAAGCTGTTTGGTCTACATAGATCATTTAAAGTCTGCATCGTTAGGGGCGTGGCCTTTGACTGAGAGGTGTCTGATAGGCTGAACTGGACCTCTGCATCCTGTTTGTGCTGTTGGAGCCTTTTGAATGAGTCATGTGACCAGTAACATGGCTGCTGTGAGGTTACTGTACTAACAGAGCGTCCAGAAGGCGGAGCTCCAGTTTCTACCTGGGCGTGACTGCGTGCCCATCAGCAGCCGTCTCTGCTGCTGTGGATAACACCAACACAGATCTCTACCTGCAGAAAACCAACATCCATCATGGTAACGCTGCCACAAACCTGTGGGTGATGCTGCACCCACTCATCTGAGAGGGAAACACAAAGACTTTCAAAATAAGAGAGAAAAATGTTAAAAATGTGCATAATGATTCCAGCCTCCCAAATCTTGAGCTGCTCTGTGTGGCAGCAGTTAACACGTCCACACAAATCCCTCCTTTATGTATTCCTTCCTTTGACTCCCACCCTCCCGCTGTCCACCCGTCTCTCTCTGTTGCAGCCACACAGCACGAAGCCTCCAACCTATCGACACCTGGATGTCACGCCTCCACCTCCTCCTGCATGTCCTCCTCTGTCACTTTTCACCACCCACTGCACACAGCAGTCAGGCTGCTGCTGAGAAGAAAACCTCCTGAAATAATCTCGTTCAGACTCTGAACACACCGTCATTTGAATCGGTAGACGAGCTTTAAACATGTTTTCTTTCAGAAACAGGTGGAGTCTGTAACACTGTAACTGTAACACACTGTAACACACTGTAACTGTAACACACTGTAACACTGTAACCTACTGTAACTGTAACACACTGTAACTAACACACTGTCACACACTGTCACACACTGTCACAGTAACACACTGTAACACTGTAACCTACTGTAACTGTAACACACTGTAACTAACACACTGTCACACACTGTAACGATGTAGGCGATACGGTCTCTCAATCACACCACCACACAGTACTGACCCACACATACAGTTCTTACACACACACTGGACTTTCTGGACTTTGGTTTTGCACAACACTGGTCACTATATTCTTCATTTCCGGTTAATACTTGTACAGCTGCTGTTATTGTGTATATATTTATTTATATTTAGATTTCTTCATACATTCTTATATAGTTCTATATTGTGTATTGTGTATTTTGTTGTACAGTTATTTTATTTTCAACTTTAATTTATATATTTATCTTTATCTTATTCTTTCCAGTTAAATTTACCCTTCATTCTAATTTGTGTTGTACAGTTATTTCATTTTTAACCTTAATTTATATTCTATTCCTTCCTAGTTAAATTTACCCTTTTTAATTTTTCATATTTATTTCCTATCTTATTCATAGCCTTTTCCTTTTTTGTTTTCTTTAGGTCACGAGCAGTTGTCCAAGCATTTCACTACATATCGTACTGTGTATGACTGTGTACGTGACAAATAAAATTTGAATTTGAATTTGATTTGATAACTGTAACACACTGTCACACACTGTCACTGTAACACACTGTAACTGTCACACACTGTAACTAACACACTGTCACACTGTAACACACTGTAACACTGTAACTGTCACACACTGTAACTGTCACACACTGTCACACTGTAACACACTGTCACACACTGTAACTAACACACTGTAACTGTCACACACTGTAACTAACACACTGTCACACTGTAACACACTGTCACACACTGTCACTGTAACACACTGTAACACACTGTAACACACTGTAACTAACACACTGTCACACTGTAACACACTGTAACACTGTAACACACTGTCACTGTCACACACTGTAACTAACACACTGTCACACTGTAACACACTGTAACACTGTAACACACTGTCACTGTCACACACTGTAACTGTCACACACTGTAACTAACACACTGTCACACTGTAACACTGTCACACACTGTCACTGTCACACACTGTAACTGTCACACACTGTAACTGTCACACACTGTAACTAACACACTGTCACACTGTAACACACTGTCACACACTGTCACTGTAACACACTGTAACACACTGTAACACACTGTAACTAACACACTGTCACACTGTAACACTCTGTCACACTGTAACACACTGTCACTGTCACACACTGTAACTAACACACTGTCACACTGTAACACTCTGTAACACACTGTCACTGTAACACACTGTCACTGTAACACACTGTAACTAACACACTGTCACACTGTAACACTCTGTAACACTGTTCAAAGAATGAAAGCAGCACTTTTGAATCAGAGTACAACATCAAGTCTGTGAAACTGGGATTTTGATCTGCTCAGGTCATTAGAGGAGGTGTAATCAGCTACTGTGCTGTTAATGAAATTACCAACAGGTGCAGCACAGACCTCAATGAGACACCCCCCCGCCCCCCCAAACAGGAAGGGTCTACAGCTGGAGGACTCTGATAGCTGAACTGAAACACCGGCTGCGCAGCGTAGTGTAAGCTGTGCAGCGGGGAGCCACTTCATAAATGGACTGGACCCGTGTCAGCGCCTGCCCTGGGTCGAAGATGAAGATACTGATACCAGAATCCAACAGTACAGCTGTAGGACAGGATGCTTCGGTCCACCCGACGCCGCCAGGCTGCACCTCAGTGATGAGCTGGTCCAGATGTGGGAGGAGTTCCCCAGGATGCCATCCATCAACTCATTAAGAATGACGTGTGTAGAAGATGTGTGGCAGACTCGACCACGTTCTTGTACTTTCAAACGCTTTCCTTTATTTCGGTTGTCGTCACTTACACACCGGGCCAGCCACACATACACAACTCAGGACCCAGTTCATTGTTTTTATGCGAAGAGGCGTGATTGCTGATGGTGCTCCGGTGTGTCAGCCTTCCCTGCCGCCACATCACAAACTACGCCCACCACAGCGTGACATCGAGCATGTGTACAAGCACGTGGGGGCCGTCCAAACTACCGAGCGCCCGCTGCATCATGTTTTCACATTGATTTTCAGGGCGTCTTTGAACTGAGCCCTCTGTAGGCTGATCACTTCCATTTCCATCGACCTACGTGGCATCCTGACATGGCATCCTGACACGCCACCCGTCCACATCAGTGCAGATATCAGCAGGATTTTCTGATGTGGGTTTTTTGGGTCACCCTTATTCTCCCTGAGTGGCAGGGGTGGGTTATAAACAACCGAAATTCCCAATAAGTTAATTAAAAAAAACTCGCACACAGCATGCCGTCAAAAGCTGCTTCCAGGGAACACGCGGCAGGCGGGAACCCGCCTGTCGGGTGATTACCCGTCACCTCTGCTTTCTTCTTCTCTCTCTCCTCCTCACCGCCGTTAATCCCCTGCGTTTAGAGGAATCAATACTCTCTCCCTGGCTGCGTCTCCTTTCAGCACCTCCTCCTCCTCGCCTGACACCTTCCTCTCCTCTCTGCCGCTGATTGTTCATTTAAGTCTCTGAAGACTCTGGACCTCTGACACCTCACTCTCTCAGCTCAGTCCGCTTCCCTTCACATTTTCCTCCCACCTCACCTTCATCTCATTTCATCACCTGATGTTTTTCTCTTCTCGCTGCTTTTCGACTGAAGATTAGAGAAGAAACCGTTTACTGAAAACCACCTTTGTTTTCCAGTCCTGAAACCAACCTGCGACTCTCTGATCTGAGTCTGAACACTTGTGTTTGTGATGAAAGAATCCCGTCCCTTTAAATTTATTCTGTTTTTAACGCTAACTGTGCAGCTCTCGATTGAACGAGGTCACATAATGAGCTGAAAGCAGCAGCTGACATGAGTGGAAAAGTGGCAGAAAGATGGAAATGAGCTGCTGGTGACGAGCCGACTGCATCTACAGCAAAGCGGCTAAATGTTAAAATTATGTTTTCATATGAAGTGATTTACGCCCACTCGAAGGTGTGAAACGCTCTGATAACAGTGGAGTGGGTCTCTCTTCAGACTGTGAAACAGATCAGTGTCAGAAGAATTACAGAGCTCGTGTTTTTCACAAGAATGGGCCGACTGAAGCCTTTTACCGGTCACACAGTCAACAGCGAGAGACCGAACCTGCACCGGTGTAGCCCACCTGTCAGTCAAATAGGCCACGCCCCTAACAATGCAAACATCCCCCCAGCATACAGGTGTTACGAAGGGGGAACGAAACATTTCTGCTGATGAGGAGCAGAGAGATGGTCACTTCCTGTCTGACAGGATGAAACGTAAACACTTTCATTGACACATACTTTTTTCTGCAGGTAAACTCGTGAGTCGTGCACGCTCATGCACTCCTGCTGCTTCTCTCCATCTGCTCCTCGTCATCTTCAGCTCCTTCTCGCCCTCTTCTTCTCTAAATCTGGTGTGAAAGCGCAGCCGCTGGAGTTTCCCTCAGCCGCCGCCTCCTCGCTCTTCAGCAGCTGTCGCTCTGATCCCACCTCCTCCACACGGCCGCACGTATGCAAATCATCATCAACCTCTGACTCCATTACAGGAGACTTCAGATAGTTCAGCTCATTAATATTCATTCTAACAGATGAAGTAAGAGAGAGCAATCATCCTTCAAGACCTCAGTGAAATTAACCGTTAATGGTCTGGGAACGTATTTATACTGGCCACAGTGTAAGTCCTCATCAACCAATGAGAATGCAGC